ATACTAGCTATTAAGCTTCGCAACAATAAGAAAATAAGAGGTTAAAAATCTGTTAGTATTGAAAACAAATTGTGTGAATTTGCTGATGATACTGCTATTAATTTAGATGGATCAGAAGAATCTCTAATGGAAAGCATGAAAGACCTTAATTATTTTCGGGAAATCTCAGGGTTAAAAATTAACTACAGTAAAATCCAGCTTGTATGGATTGGCAGTATGAAATACAGTCAGAATGTATTTTGTACTAGCTTAAACCTACCATGGTGTAAAAGTAATTTTTCGTTCCTTGGAATAGACTTTGATGTAGATTTATCCAAGATGATACGATTAAATTATGATAAAAAATATTGGAGATTGAATCTCTTTTAAAACAGCGGAGCAAGAGAAACTTAACTCCAATAGGGCATATTACAATGGTTAAAACATTGGCATTGCCAAAGCTAATCCATCTGTTTTCATCATTGCCAAATCCAGACAACAGAATTATTCAAAAACTTGATCACTTGTTTTTTTTAGTTTTGTGTGGCAAAAACCTGTTGGTAAATTCAAGAGAGAAACTTTCGTGAAAGATTATTTCCAAGGGGGTCTAAAAATGATTAGTTTGAAACCTTTCAGAAATTCACTGAAACCTACATGGGTTAGAAATTGATCAATAATGAAAAATTACAGGGAATTTTTGCTTTCCATGGGGTTAATTTTGAGTTACTAGAAAATACAGGTGTCAAAAACGTAGAAAATAGTATGACTGTATGCACAGATCAATTTTAGAAAGATGTTTTGAGTGCCTGGAAAGATTTTATTGCATTAAATGTTGAATATACATGGGAATATTTTTTGAATATGCCATTATGGTTTAATGGGAAATTTAAAATAGAAAATGATGTTGTTTTTACAAAGACTGGTACGACAAAGATGTACACATTGTAAACGATTTATTAGATAAAGCTGGAGAATTTATTTCCCTGACCAAATTCCAGGAGATTTATCACATACGTACAGACTTTCTGAAATATTATGGCTTAACAAAATGTGTTAAACAGTATTCCAGATATTTTGTTAAAATTTTACATCTCCAATAAAGAATTGTTACCAAGCATTCCAAGCATACAGATCAAGATATGTACCTCATACTGAGAAAAAATATTACTCAACCTACAAATAAAAAGAAAATTATGGAAAAGTTTGGTGTCACTGATGATGAAATGGAACTCATTTATAAACTTCTATTCAAAATTACAACAAATAGTAGATCACAGTGGTTCCAATACAGGATAAACCACTTAGTTTGGACTACCAATTATTTCCTGGAAAAGACCAAACTTGTACAAAGCCCTCTTTGTACTTTTTGTCATATACAACCAAAAACCATTATACACATATTGTGGGAATGTGAAAAAGTACAAATTCTGTTGGAAAATTTTGATACATGGACTTCATCTACAGCACACATAACACTTAATTATAGGTGTAAGACTTTTGTATTTGGTATTTTTGATGTTAGAAACTGTAATGTACAAAATAAGATATTGCTTTGTATTAAATATGATATCTATTCAAGTCGATGTTTGAAAAAAGTTCTATCATTACAGGCACTCAAAAAAAGTTAAATGATCTGTACTGTACTGAAAAACTGTAGCTATTTATAAACAAAAACAAGAGCAGTTTGAGAGAGAATGGAATAGCTGGCACTTTCTGTGTTTATACTGAAGAAAAATCACACAAATACATGAGACTTTTGTTTTTTTAAATTTTCTAATGAAACCTATTAATCTGTTTTGTACTTTCCATCTGCCTTGAATCAAGTACCATATAAATGCAGTGATATATAGAGCAAACCACTGATGATCAAATTTTTTTTCCTACAAATTTCATACTTGTTTTTGATTTTTTCCACAATTTTTTTTTTTTTTTTTTTTTAATTTCTTATTCCAACTGTTCTAAAACGTTTCAAAGATTTCTATAACACAGATTATTCTAACAGTTCGAAAGAGTTTACATCTGATCCCAGCACGTAGTTATGGACTATATGGGATTGAAAACAATTATTTCTGAAGTATAACGAAACAATAAATGGACTGAGTCTGGATTTAATATGTTAATTTGATAAAGATCATAAATAACATCCAACTGGTTATGGTGAACACCTCTGTAATTATAACTTACAATGTGACACATAATATCATTAGTGTTTTTTTTTTTTTATTTATAATAATTATACTCATCAAATAAGGCAATTTTCTATTTCGATTCCTACAGTTTTTCTTTGATGAAAATATCACTGCCTGCTGGAAATAAATGATGATTTTCTACTAAAGGAATAAATTTCACACATCAGAACAATCTGTAATTTTGATTGCGGTATATAACTGATTCATTTCAATCATTATTGTATTATAAAGCACTGACAGTGTTACGTAATTAGGAACAATATTGTAAGTATATTTTTATTCCTGAATGAAAAGCTTATTGTAATAGTATATTTCCAACAAAGGTTTGTTGAATCCAATTGCTTTGTTATCAATATTATGTAATTATCGCCTTCTCCAAAAGTTAGTATCCAAAGGTATTAAATCGATAAAAAAATTATCATTTTCCTGAGGTTTGCAAGAGCCAGAGAAAATAACCCATTTAAATGTAATCATTTTGAATTTTATCTTAATGATGATTTTGTTATTTTACTGAATTACATATGATTATCAGAGACTTTTTTGTTGTAGAATATGTCATTGTCCAAATCTGAAATTCATCCAAATATTGTTTCAGCCGCTAGTTTCACTAGTCCATAATAAACGGAGCGATATAACGTGTTATGTCTTCGACTTGCAAAAGCACACAAAATCTATAACGGCTTTATTTACTATAAACTCGTCATAGATACATGTATCAGGATTTAGATTGTGAACGCCAAACGCGGACTTCATCTACAAAAGACTCACCAGTGATGCTCAAACCAAAACAATGTAAATGGGCAAAATAACGAACGCATCTAAAGAGCTTTGAGGACCCAAATTTTGAATGTTTTTACTATGTGCATGTTTTAAGACAGTTATTTTGCTTACACACAGTTTGGCACAGGAAATTTTTTAATTTTGATCATGAAATAGAAGCGTGCTGCAAATTTTGTTTTTACTTTATTCGGGTTAATACAGTAAAGTATAATAATAATCCGTATTGATTAACTCAGAGCTCTACCGTGTCCCCTTAAATGAATGTTCACTTAACAATCAAAGAACACACGTCGGCGTAAATTTATTTGTTATTTGAAAGTTTGCGACAGCAAGGAAACCAAATTCTGTAATGTTTCCTTTTATACATACAGATTAAAATAATACCATTTTTTATTTCTCCAAAAAAATGTTTCAACCAAAATTTAAAACTTTTGAAATTCTAGAGGAAATGAAAGCTAAATGGAAATCTGAACTAGAAAGGAAAGTAAAATAGTGTGTGCCTACAGTTTTCTTTCACTATAAATTCCGAAAATAATTAAATATGATTTGACATTTTCGGAGGAAAATACATTTTAACTCTCGTGCCGATTAAAATATGACATTTTCTTAATCAGTTCTAGAAGTGACGGAATGACGACAAAAATTGAAGATATATCTAATATAAAAACTCATCAAAGATACCAAGCTTCTAATTGTAAGTTCGTCAGACGTGTGTTTCGTCTAAATAAGACTCATCAGTCGCGCTCAAATCAATACAGGCCAAATCCAACACGATGTCGAAGAGCAGTAAAAACCGAAAATGTCGATGAAAAAAAGTTTTGCCAAATACCGCTAAGGTTATCTCTTGCTGGGGTAGGAAAACCTGTGTGTTTTAAATAATTCTACACAAAAAAAACTAAATTTACAGAAAATGAACATATCAATGATATTTCTTGTCAATATAGACCATTATTCATTTCACATTGCAATAATGAATTTTAATATCATGGTATCTCACGACATAAAATTCTAGTTGTTTAAAGAATGTCTGTAATATTCGAAAAATAGAATATTTCAGTTTAGGATGGTTAATACTAAAGGTAAGAGGAGAGGGACTTTGATTGTATGTTTGTCCTCTACCAAACAGTAGCATTGAAAACCACAGACATTGTGGAATTTTCACACACATTCGAAATTGTTTTCGGGGGAATAATAACTAATTTATCATGGAGAGACAAGAATCTCTAGAAACATTTTTGGGGGTTTGAACATGGATGACCCTTGAACAGTTTTATTTCTTGGACCGCATAACCACAAACCAAATGGAAAATTATCAACGTCGATTCTGTCACGTTTTGTCTATTGTCTATAATAGTCCCTAGCAGAATCCTGTATACTTTTTTAAATAATGTTTTCAGTATAAAGATACAGATTAACGATATTTCGACCCTTTGTCAAGTTTCAGTTAAAGAGCTTTTCACAATTTTGTTGTCGTCAGTTATGACATAGCTAGTCGCAATATGTATGATATGGAAACTAGCACAAGTGCAAGCAGGAATTTTGACTTAGCAGTCGTCAGTATGAGATCCTGCAACACTTCCATTTTATTGATTAGAAATTCGTTATCTTACAGTATAAACATAATTAATATAAAGAATTTAGCTTAGAAATGAGTAATGAATAGAGTTTCGTGGCAATGTGATGCACACTCAACGGATTCTGTATACTACTAAATGGAAGAAGATAAAATAATTGATTGTAATATTATGAAATGAAGATGTTGTACAATGAAGATGACTATACGGTGTTGAAGGAGAGGACATGAGATGAGATGACTTTTTAAAATACCTGTACTTTCAATTTTGTCATCCGAGAACCTCATGGTGTTGCATTTCCTTTTTATTGAATCCGGTTTAGTCTTTTATACGATAAAATAAGGATTTTAAGTTCAGTATTTTACCAATTTTATTGGTCAAAGAAATTTAACTAATAGAAATTCTAAATTATTGCTCAGCTAGTCAGTTATATATTCATTTTGTATAAATATACTTTTAAATTTTTGGACAGTAATCATGCTATTTAGTACAAGATTAGCAGTTGTATTGGTATATACCACATTAGTGTTGGGAATTCATAGAAGAAATAATATAAGAGACACAGTAAGCATTATTGACCATTATTGTATATGTTTATATTCAATAGATACATAAAACGTATAAATATACAATGTAATCTATACATTAATCAAATGTAAAGGAACCAGAAAATTTGATATCATGTCTTGCGGTCATAAAAATTTCGAGCACGATCATCGCACTAAGACTCTAAAATCAACCAATCAAAATACTGAATTTGGTGTTTGGAGCACAAACTTTGTACTCCGAGTACTGAGTAAAGTTGACCTGTTTTAAATTAAACGGGAAAAGCTTAAAATGTTTAAAAATGTATTTTAAAAAAATATGTTGATATCTAGCGCTAGTGTAAAACCGACTCTGGGAAACTGACAAAAATACAAAAAAAAAAATCAATTGATCATTTCCAACGCAATATGCAATCATATAAACAAATCGTTCCTGTCTGCGAATATGTCCACCAGAACAGCCGAATTACCCTTGGTATGTGAATTTGTAAGTGTACACTACATTTTACAACATGCAAATAAAAAATATTCATAACTACAATCTGAAAATACCCATAGACAATTTTAATGGAATACTTCTTTTATGTGTTTTCATAATTGACCAATTACATGAAATTTGTATTTATATTTAAACAGTGAATATTTTGGTTAGTAAATTGGTTTTTGCTGAACGTCCAGTAACAAATGCCTCATGCATGCCAGGGACGAACACAAATGACTAATGGTTAAAACAACTCTATAAGTAGGTACTAGTATTATAAAATGTTGACCAGTTCGCAGGACGGACAAAATATGGAAAGCGTGATAAAACAAACAAACGACTCTATTTCAAACTAATGGGTTGTGTATTTTATTAAAAAAAGTCTGAAAAGTTGTAATTAATATTTGAAATGGAAATATTTGTAGGAAATTAGCGAAGAATGTAACCAATTGATTCAAAGTCCTGAAATAGATGATAGTACAATAACCAGAGAAGAAATGATATGTCTGTTCTGGTCATCTGGTAATTCAAAGGAAGTTGCGGAAGACATGGCTGACAAGGCTCTCTTAGAAGGTGATACAAATGGCAACGGAGCGATCGATGGTGATGGTAGGTCTTAGTAACTGATAAATAGTAGTCTTTTGCTCTGATCCTACTACCAAAAGTTTGTTAGTTAGGAAAAGTATTTTCGGAACTATGTTACAAAAAGTTTGAGTTAGTAATTAGTTAGTAATTATAACATTTCCGAAACCAGTATCCAAAAGTCTGTAATTAATGAGTTAGTACTAGAAGATATTTTTTTCGTTTAAAAGCTTTTAAGTTTAATTATTTTCCTTGTATGTTGCACATGTCTGGAATCAATGGAACAAAACTATTCCGGAACATTTCCATTAAGTTATGTATGCTATTTTTCTGCTTTTAAATGCCGTTTTGCCATTCGGGTTTTATTAATTTTCGTCATTAATTTCTTGTCAATCATTCTTGTGACCCTAACCAATTCGCTCAATGATAAAAAGTGATGATTTGGCGCCGAAAAACCTGACACAGTGGTATTACTCAACACTATCTTTGAGAATGCATACACAACATCGTGCAATTGACATTCGTTTAAATATGATTGACTCATCACGGTAGGTATAGTGTCTGGCTAGGATCGTGGTTTTTCGAGTGAATCTGTCCATTTTTTTCGAGTGTAGATCGGGCTTTTTCGAGTGATAAAACATGCGATCAGGTTAATTAACTACTAATTCGTAATTTTAATAGTTTTTTTACTTGACTACCCATCTTATTTTGAATACTATACATGTTTTGAGTAACAAAGAAACACAATTTCCTTGTATTTAACCATTAAATTCAGTGTTTGTTATTGTCCGGGCTTTTTCGAGAGGAATTGTGAAACCGTCCGGGTTTTTAAACAAATGGTCCGGGTTTTTTAACGAAAAAAAGTTATTTCTGACTTTAAAAAATGACCTTTCTAGTATATAAATGTAATTTAATGAATGAAAATATCATATATTCTCAATAAATCACCAAAACATATTACTATGTTGATCAAAATTAACCTTTTTCAATTTAATGCAAGTTTTCTGTTCGGAAAACGTTCTACCACATCTTTCCATTATTAAATTAGAAATTATTGGATCCTTTATAAAAAGGTTTTAAGAACATAGTGCAGGAGACTCATAATCTTTTCAACTTCATTTTATGGTATTTTTGTTGTCACAGTTAATAATATTTTTCGTGGTGAACCCCGGAGTTTTTATACGGTACGTATTATGGTATACCGTTGTCCGTCCGTCGTCAGCATGTCGGACAAAACTCAAAAACGCTGTAACCAATTTACATGAAACTTCGTTGAATTTTTTTTATCTATTGAGGTATCCTCCCTTTCGAATTTCATAAATTTTAGATTTTACGTTTTCGAGTTATAGGATTTTATTAAACAAACTAGAGGCTCTAAAGAGCCTGTGTCGCTCACCTTGGTCTATGTGCTGCAGTGCATATTAAACAATGGACACTCTCCTACATTAAAGACAAGAATATAATTCATGACAAAATTCTCTGTTTTGGTGATGGTGATTTGTATGTAGATCTTACTTTACTGAACATTCTTGCTGTTTACAGTTATCTCTATCTATAATGAACTCGTTCCATAAGTATTAGAGGAGAAGATTTCTGTAAAAAATTTTGCGTTGCACATGATCCGCTATCCTTAACATTAAAATACAGTTATTAAGCTGCTCAGATTGTGATCTATTCAACAGCAATTAAAACTCTAGACGTATATTTCTGTGCATCACGGGACGAGACAATGTAAAAGTTAACGGACGACGACGGACAACGACGGACGCCAAGTGATGAGAAAAGTTCACTTGACCCTTTAGGGCCATGTGAGCTAAAAAGGGGTGATTTTACAGTTTTCGGACAATATTTTTAAAGTGCTTTGAGGAGTTTTAATGAAACTTTGGTGACTGCTTTATATAGATAAAGGTTACCTCCCTTTTAGTTTTTTTTTATAAATTTTTAATAGGTCATTGACAAATTATTTATTGGTTTCATAACGAGTAATAATGGTTGTCGCTTGATATCAACTCGAGTTATTTAATTTCAATATAATATTAAACGATGCTCCGGCGAGTTTGACATCAAGCGTATCATGCGCCCATGGCGCAGCTGTTTATTAAAAAACGGAGTAAGAAACCTACTGGACAGCAGAGATAAATCAGAAAAATGCATTTGTTTTTGTTAGATGTATTTCTATTTGTATCCATCTGATGAGTTAAGCCTTTTTCAACTGATTTTTATAGTTCGTTCTTATGTTGTACTGTTACACCACTGTCCCAGGTTAGGGGGAGGGTTGGGATCCCGCTAACATGTTTAACCCCGCCACATTCTGTATGTGTGTGCCTGTCCCAAGTCAGGAGCCTGTTATTCAGTGGTTGTCGTTTGTTGATGTGTACATATTTGTTTTTCGTTTATTTTTTGTACATAAATTAGGCCGTTAGCTTTCTCGTTTGAATTGTTTTACATTTGTCATTTCGAGGCCTTTTATAGTTGACTATGCGGTATGGGCTTTGCTCATTGTTGAAGGCCGTACGGTGAGCTATAGTTGTTAATTTTTGTGTCATTTGGTCTCTTGTGGAGAGTTGTCTCATTATCTTCTTTTTTTATATGTAATAAAAAATATTCTACTAAAAGACACTTTATCCGACCAGATTTTATTCCCATTGACAATAACATCTGAAATAAATTTCATATATAGTTAACAATGAAATGAATAATTCATCAGCTTAATTCACTCTTTGTACGTACGTCTCAATCCAAATTGTCTATGATTACATTAGATTGTTGACATCATGAATATATACTGTACATGTAATTTATTAGATGTGACAAACAACAATATATACAGATGGCTGATACTTGTTTATAAAGTCTAAGTGTTAGTACACCTTTATTAAACTGATGAATGCATTGGTTTTGTGCCTTAAAAAGTACATAATTTGAACCATTTTTTATTGTTTTTAAACGTAAATACACTGACACACAACATTCTAAGCTATAGGAAATTTGTATAATCACTCGATAAAACACGGACGCACTCGAAAAATCCCGGACTGCTCTCGAAAAATCCCGAACACATGGAAATGAATTTAGTCTCAAAATATCGTTTTTCATTGCAACAACAAGAATTTTTGTAAAGTGTCTGTATGTCTAAGGATATATGGATTCCATCTATGCATTTCCATCGACGTTTGCATTGGTATGTGTATAAAAATGGCTTTATTCTGTTTTTTTGGAATAAAAGCAGTGTAAGGCTAAATTCAACTTTTTGAACGAAAAATAATGTCGAATTGATAATATCTTTTTATCTCAAATACTAACACACCTTGTATATCCTTGTATATTAAACTCAAGCTTCTATATCACGTCATTTCAGAAAGTAAGTCTGTTTGTTTACATTTTTGATCATATTCACTCGAAAAAAGTGGTCACACTCGAAAAAACCCGATCAAATCACTCGAAAAACCACGATCCTAGCCGGACACTATACCTACCGTGCTCATTGGATTAACTAAATGCATATATTTTCTTTTTCAGAAGAATTTTAATAAAGATCGATATGCATACGTTTGATTGAATGGATCACAGGCATCAATTAGAAATATGTGTCATCTGAATACTTGTTCAATAAAACAGATTCAAACAAAATTTTGTATGTACACTTTAATATTAATTTCTCATATAATTGTAAACAAAGACTATGCAGTTATAGTTTAAGTAAGTAAACGGATAAGTGAGTGCATTTGTGACTTGAATAACTGAACTTAGCTTTGTGTGTGTTTTTTGGCTGTACATGTACAGATTTTGTGTCATGGATGGATACACCATATCCTTTGTTTTTCTATTGTAACAAAAAAGGCGAAATTTAAATTGGTTTTTATCAAATATGAATATGCGCAACTTTTCTTTCGATATTCAAAACACTTTAAAACGTTTTATTCACTGGTCAATCCCATCTCCTTTTTATTGTGCTTTCTTCTTCATGTTTTCAATCCTAAGCAGACGATTAATACACGGACCTACCCTATTTACATAATAGTTAATATAAGTTTAATAGTGTAATAAACCACAATGACTAGAACATGTCTGAAAGTCTGGTTCTACCAAGACTTCTGAGAAAAACATTATTTACGTTACCTCAATAACCAGAGTGCCTTCAAGGTGATTACGTGTATCTTAATTCTTTTATTATTTCATATTTTTCAATGTTAAACATTAAATTGTAAAAGGGATCGAAATTATGTAAAATCTGAAATACACAAAAGTAATTCTGCTTCAGCTTAAATAGTTCTATTTTCCAAATACTTTGCTCTTTCAGTTGTCATATTGACCATGAAATTTGCATTAATTTAGTTGAATCAGAGTTAAAAAATACCTTTCTTTACTTTATGAATCAACTTTCTATAAGCAATATTTTCAATGTTTTACAAAAATAATGTTTAAAGTCTTTTCTAAGGTGATCTATGTCATATTACATCCTTAACAGGGCTAGAACAGGGACTACTGTGTGAATAGAAAGAAAACTAAATGATAGAAATATGAAATGAAATATGAGAAGATAGCCTTTATAAACGCCCTTCCCGCCCCCCCCCCCCCCCCCCCCCCCCCCCCAAAAAAAATATGTGTCAACGTATTGTTTGCTGCTTAAAAATTGTTTACTGTTCAATCCTTGTACAGTTATGGCGGATGACAACCTCGGGGTTGCAGGCTCTATGACTTGGTGTTCACATCGAGAAAGTGTCGCGATAAACAATATTGTGAGCACTCAATCCTGCTCCTAAGATGGGACAGTGGTGTAGTACAATAATAGAACAAACCTTAGAAATCAGTTGAAAAATGCACAACTCAGCTAATCGCAAAAGACACAAAGTTAGAGTTCTAGCAGTTGTTGCATGCTATCCTAATCTGACTAGACAAAGGCTCCGTGTTGAAGGCCGTACTTTGACCTATAATTGTTTATTTTTTACACATTGTGACTTGGATAGATAGTTGTCTCATTGGAACTCATATAAAAACAAAGTAACTGTGAGGTATACTTGGCATAATATACATAATCACTGGAATTGAATGATGGTTGCTATTACATGTACAAAAATGTATATACACGTTTCAGTGTTTACAAATTCATATGAAAGGGACTTTAATCTTACTATTATGTATGTTAAGTAACATAACAGAGACGTTTACAAAGTTATATTGTAGAAATAGTCATAGAAAGTCTAGAAAAGAATAGCTATGTACTTTCAAAATTTGGCTTTTCGTTAACTTCAATTTATTTTTAATTTTTGATTTTTATCTATTCATTTTCATAAATGTATGTATTTTTATTGATTTATATTTATTAATTTATCTTTTGTTTGACATTTTTTTGCATATTTTTGAGTGAGTTTAAGAAATGCTTTAGATGTGATCTTGGAAAAATCATTTAAAATGGTTTTTTTTTCAAGTTTTTAAAATTGGGTAGGGCAAAACACAATTTCAATATCAGCATTCTAAATTTGATAACATGTTTTATATTTTAGTCAGAACACGCTGAATTTGTCTACATTGTTGAGCAGTTTTCCTGAAGATTTTCGTTGACTCTGTAATTTTTTGCATTTTGAAAAAAATACACAAAAAGAAGTTGTTGTCGTTATTTAATAAAAAAATAATTAAAAATTAATTCTGACAATTTGCTCCTGTGGTTGTCGCAACAAAATTTGTAGGTTATAGTGTTTCGTAAACAGGAATTAGAAAACTGATTTTTCTATGGGAAGTAGCAAACATATGGAATAGCGATACTTATTTGGTGCATAGCTGTCTTATTTGCAATTATACAACATGTCCTTATTTTTATTTATATATTAGGATAGGCTTTGTATTGTTCCAAAAAGACCAAATTTTGTATTTTGCAATCTTTGATAGCTGCAAGAATTTTATAAAGCGATACTAACAAATGTTCACATTGAAAAACATCGGACTTCGAGAAACAGATTTCTTCCAACAAAATATTAAACACCAATGAAAAGCATTGGTTGAATCATTTTTTCTGAACCTGAAAAGAACCCGCGATTTGCTTCTCGAATGGAAAACGAAACTGTCTCAATGTCTTTCCTTACAACATTTGTTTCTCACAATGTTTCCCGAATGTCATTTTTCCGACAGACCTATTTTTTTCGGAAATAATCTAGCGTTTGTTTGGAAATTTTTATATCTTCAGTATTTCTTTTTTTATTTTGAAATTAGTGCTCTGTGTAATGAATTGAAATGATAATGCTTGGATCAAATCATTACCTTAGCAATAATAAATGATACTTTTCAGTTTAGACTCGTACACCTGAGTATTACCTTTGCAAGATCGTCATTCATCCTATGAATAAGGGACTGCCTTTTCGGAACAACTGTTCATGCTTCTTAATTTATCTTCAAGGTTCTGATATAGTTTCAATTTTGTAGTGTATTTTCCTTTCATTTTGACAACTGACACTGGTTGTCGAAAGTCACCAAAAGATAAACTGATACGAATACCAACCTTACATCATTTAAAATAGACCAGTGTCTTTCCTTTATTGTAAATATGTGGTGTAAAGTTAGACTTTTCGGAAATCGGACTAGTTGAATGTCAAAATACTGGCCAGTTGTTTAAAAGCATAACATATCAAAATATACCATTTTACCACAGGGAGCGTTTACGTTTCAAATTAAAATTTTATACGAGGTACGTAATCTTTGCAAAATGAATAATAATCAGAATGTAGTGTATTATACATTGTACATAGTACAGAAATTATAACTTTCAATGGACACAGCTGACCCTAACAGATATGTAGGTATTCAAAGACCTCCAGATTTTTTTGTCAGCCAAGAAATATTTAATACATGTAACTCTCTATTCCTCTATAAACATAAACCTTGTCACAATACTTGACAGCGAGTTTCTTGCCATCTGTAATGATGAGAACTAAGTAGAAGAATCTAAAGTAAACATTTAATGGATGCAGCTACAAATCGAATTGCAAAAGGTTTCTAATGTGATTTACGAAGCTAAAATGAGTAGACAGTAAAGTTACAAATCGCAAAAAAAAAATTGTTGCATATACCTGAGTTTTAAATGACCGTAGTCATTTATGTTTTCAAGTACTCAGTATTTAAGTTTCATTATTTTATAGCATTTCTCTGGTCTGATTTTCAAACTGTTGGCTTTAAGTTTAGAAATGGTATTGTCTAGACTTAAAACCAACAATTTGAAAATCAGACCAGAGAAAAATGATTGCAATATGAATAGACACTGTCCATATAAACGTTACATATCCGTTAAGTAATGGATAAATACATGTTCCTAATCTGTAAATATTGAAGATATTCAATTTGTGAAAGCATTAGCAATTTCAATCAATAACTCTGTCGGGATGCTTGCATAACATACGACAGTAGGCACTGTAAAATTGTATCAAGAGACCTTAAATCCACATAAATCGAATCTTCCACGAACTTTCTATTGTATCATAAACATACTTTTACGGGGAACCATGCATTTCGTCATGCTTTTAACATTATGCCTGTTTATATGGAACGTACAAGAAAGTCAGGTAAGTTTTTTTCTTTCTTATAAGGTGTAAACTTAAAAATTTGTTTTTGTTCGAAAACCATTATGAAGATCTTATATGGAGTACCTGAAAGTTATGTTACATTGTTTTGATATAATAAAAAAAATAGTTGAATGCCAGTGAGACTGCAATTCATCGACAAAATGACCAAAAACTATCTATGAGGGTCTTCTTTGGTTTTTTTTATTGGAGGGGGGGACTGTGATGAACAAAGGAGATATGACATTTCATCTCTAAAATGGAAGAAAGGTAAAATGCTATCAATCTTTTAAAATCAAGAGATTGGTATATACCTAGTGTACTCAAAGTAAGATATAATCATTTGTTATAAAGGGATAATTGATAAATGGATAAGCTATTGTCATCAGTGACGTCCATGGCCTGTCCGTTTACTGTCGTAGCTTTTTCAAAATCTTCCACTTAAACCCCATTGCTAGTTGAAACCAAACTTGCTCCTTATCATCATTTGGGGTTTACTTAAAGGGCATATTCTTTGGAGACTTCAAACCAAAATGACCGTTATTACTTCAAAGAGGGTATTAAGGGTATTTTTGACAAACTTTTACATGCAATGATAAAAAATCGGAAAAATTCATTTATGGATAAATTGCTATCAAACTGTAAAACATGACACACTTATGATGTCTTCTATGACCAAATGTTTTCAAGTTTAGCATTCACTTCACATTTTTGGTGCGGTTAAAGCACTTATCTGGTTATACCTTCATCAGTACACACATTCTAAAATTTGAAAGCCAAGGATGTTTAAATATTTTGATGCTAAAGGAAATGTAAAACAATGCCTGACCAACATAAGTTCGTCTTTACTTGAAGGGTAGGTGCCTTAGATTCTTACTAATTTGTTGACTTATCAACGGAGAATATAAGAATAGAAAATTAAGGGGAAAAAAACTAAAGTATTTGAAGAATCTGGCTACCAAGCTAAGTAATAATGTGCGTATCACTTGTGACATCAACTGCCTTCAAACATGGCAACACGATTTACTAAAAATACTACATTTAGACGAATCTGAATAAAATGAATATGAATAAACTGCTTCGCCTAGCGTAGTTGGATACGACCGCAGAGGTCCAACCCTGAACAGTTGAGGCAAAAATTGACACAATATTCAAGCTTAATACAGGTCTGAATTTGGATTGTAATTAAATATTTGACACATTATAGGTTTCTGACACAGAATAAATGTAGTCAAAGAACTTGAAATTGGTTATATGATTTGAATTTATATTCAATTGAAGATTTCTTGCTTTTGTGCAATACACTGTGCTGTTGCGCAATACTTAGAAAATCTGTTTTCAAACTATATACAAAGAATAAGCAAAATAAATTGTGACCCCCAATTTTTCTTTGGAAAATTGACAATTTCTTAAACCTTGATGAAAAAAATTGACCCCCCTTAAAAAATTTGAATTCCAACCTTCTACTTGTAGTATTAAACCTTGTGGTACAATTTCAGAGCAATCACAATACTTATACACAAGTTATTGTCCTGACAATAGTACAATGCTTGTTTTGGGCCCCCTTTGGGCCCCTTATTCCCAAACGGTTGTTACCATCACCCCGAAAACAATCCCAACCATCCTTTTGTGGTATTTTACCTTTTGATTAAATTTCATAGAGATCCATACACATAAATTAAAGTTATTGTCCGGAAAGCAAATGTATTTGGAAGACGACGACGACGACGAAGACGACGACGTGATAGCATTATACGACCCCAATTTTTTTTTGCGGTCGTATAAAAATTAGGTCAAAGAATACTACCAATGCACTTTTGTTAAATAAGGTTTTCATGCTCTTCATTTAAGGAAACTGTTGGTGACGCCAGTTACCTTTTAAAATTACCGCAAATGTGATTAAAATGAACAAAAATGACAATACAATTATTATTCTTATTCAGAATTTAGGTTAATATAAAATAAAGAGATGTGGCATGATTGCCAATGAGACAACAATCCACCAGAGCCCAAGTTGACGTAGATCTATCCATCTCAGTTTTCAGTTTAAACTTATTATATTTTCATAAACACAAATTGTATTAGACACAGGTCAAGCCGACTTATGGAGTCTTCTCTAGTTCACTAATTTAACAATACAATATATAACAGCATCCATGTCTTAAATATTAATTCAACATTTGTATAAAATATGAATGTTAGAACCAACTTCAAACATGACTTCCAATGTATTTGATTTAAAAGTATAATAAATGATATCCGAAAACTATGTGAAGTATTTCTATCAAACTGTAATTAAATGATACATTTAGAATCTTCATTTTGGTCAAATCAGCTGAAACACAGAGCATTACAAATATTGGTAGACCTTTAATTTCAATTATTTTAAAACTGCGACGAAAATCGCAATAAGTCCTTTACTTGGCCTGCTAATTGCTTCAAACTATAGATCAACAAGACTTCTAATAGGGTTAAACTCGGAATTGTAGCCATTGCGAATATTTAAATTCAAACGGAAAATGAGATTCTTTAGATTTACTTAATTTCTTTGATGTACTATTTGTTTCCACACAATTTTTTTTTTAATTTCGTATGAAGTACTGATATAAGTGAGTTCAGTTTTTTGTTGGATGGATGATTTTTTTTATATAACTGGACATGTAATATTTGTTCTTACATCATTTGGAAAAGGACGAGTGTGGATGAATAGTGACAGAACTAGTCGGAACAAGTTCCACGGTTTTAACTCTATAATTTGTTGATTTATATGTATCATATCAGTTTTATATCGTCTCTCTTTACATAATTTGCAACTTATCTAAACTCAATGTCTCTAATGCATGTACACAATGTCTTTTTGAAAACAAAGGGTGTGCTAAAATGTCTATTTTGCTGCACTTGCGTTGTTAGATTACTGAAATTTAAATAAAATTTCTAATTCTTGATATCAACTGTTTAATCGACGAATGAAATACGTTTTTGATTTTGCATAGATGGTATTGTAACCAAATGACACAAGTTAACTGAAGTTTGTTTTAAATAGAACCATATAACAAGTCCTAATTTTGTTCATTTCTGTGCAAGATATAACACAAGTACGTAGGTCTAAAAAAGTATAACAAAATACCGAACTCAAAGATAAATTCAAAAAGGGTGAAATCCATAAACACTGACAAAAACAAACGTTATCAATCAACGGAACGAGTGTCATATTCCATATAAACCAATGTCATATTCTATATATAAACAAGGACATCCTAACCAAAAGAGTCATCAGCTATAAACTGAGTCTAATTGGTATTTCTTTATATTTATCTATATAATGTAAGGTCTCGTTTTTGGTATCCCCAGAATTCTTTCGTCATGCTTGCCTACTGAATTGCACAATAACGGCATATCTAGATAATTGCATTCATTGTTTTTTCGTTGTCTTGTACTCATACCTTCAGGTACATATATTAAGATATGACTAGCCTTGACGCTTCAATTAACATTAAATATCCGTTACGTTTTGGCTAAAAACATGTACTACCTTATCAATAATTAAATATTGTAAATATTGAAGGAATGTAAATTTATATAGTAAAGCGATATAAATGCTAATCAATAATTCTGTCGGGAAGCTTGCATAAAATAGAACATTTGTCATCGTAAGATTGTTTCAGTAGACCTGTACTTAAATTGAAGTACAATCTTCTATATTCTTTTTAAATCGGACTATGCATTCCATCATGCTTCTAACGTTGTGTCTATTGATATGGAACGTACAAGAAAGTCAGGTCAGTTTTGTTTTGTTATCTTGTGAGGTTTAAACTTCATATTTAGATTTGTGTTAAAACCTTTATTTGTATTCAATGAGGAATATGCAATTTGTTTATATTTGGGCTGTGCACAAATGTTCAAGGGGCTTTATTTCATCTTTGAAATTGCTAAAAAGATAAAATTGTACTGTTTTTGTATTGTCCTAAAGATATAATGTGAGCTTTTATGAGCTATTGTCATAACTTGACGTCCGTCGTCTGTTTATGGACCGACATACCTGTTCACATTTTTCATCTGAACCCAAGAGCTTAAGGCCAGTTGAAACCAATACTCTTATCACTTCAGGGTTCACTCAAAATTTAACGTCTCATGGCACCACCAAAGATTGTTATTGCTTCAAGAAGGATATAACGACGTGAGTGCAATAAATTATCTGCAAAATTCAGTTCAGGATCGATTGTTCAAAAACCTTTTTAAATTATTTTGTATGGCCATATGTCACACGTTGTGTGTAAATGTATATATGGTACGTTTTCAGATGGAGGTTAATTATCCCAACCACTTTCAAATGTAACCACCGCTGTTACTAATTAAAAACGAATTATAAAGATCAGGTGAAGTATCAAACTCTAGTTGAATGATACATTTATGATCTTCATTTGGTTAAAATCAGCTGATAAATAGGGCATTCTAACCATTGTTAGAAGTCATTTTTACTTTTGATAAATTTTAAACTGCGATGAAAAATCGATTAAATGGCCTGTTAATTTCCCTAAAAACTATAGAATCGATTAGGCTGTTAATAAGGTTGAGTTACACATTTTAGCCATTTATAATATTTGGCATAGAATCAAAAGACCGATCAGATTCTTAAGAGCAACATGCGTTCACTGTTGACACACTTAGAATAACGATATTGCTTATTTGTACAACTTTGTATTTACCTAATTTCATGTTGTCTGAAGTACCTTTATCATTGAGTTCAGTGCTTTTTTGGAATAATATCTTTTTTATAACTGTAATATTCAGTCTTGCATAATTTGATATAGGACACATATGGATGAGTAGTTACAAAACTTGTCCGAGCATCTTCAATAGATTTATTTATATGGTCTCCATGTCAGTTGTACTATCGTCAATCGAGAAAGCATTTGCAGCTTATAGAAACTTAATGCTTCCAATATATATTGACAATGTTTTTTTTTTTACAAATAAAGGTGAGCTTAAAAAGTCTACGTTAGTACACTCGTATTATTAAAATTGAAAATTGAAACGGGGTATGTGTCAAAGAGATAACAACCCGACCAAAGAGCAGAATTGTCTTGTTTAAATCTATATTGCATTTCTTAATCTTGACAAAATTTCAATTGAATATTGTTCAATCGGTCAATTACATATTAGATATGTTTTTATAATTATGGTATTGCAATCAAATGACACTAATATACTTAAACTATAAGAGAGGCGAAGAATACCGAAGGGACATTTATTTTAGACCCTAAACAATGAACCATATGACAATTTCTTAATTTGCTTATTTCTTTAAGTGAGGCGAATGATACCAAAGAGATATTTAAACTCATAAATCGAAAACGAACTGACGATGTCATGGCAAATAAACGATAAACGACCAAAAGACAAGCAATCAATAGTCTCAACACAGAAAACTAAAGACTGGGCAATACGACCCCCATCAAAATCAGGGGATGTTCCTTGGTGCTCCGGGAGGCTAAGCAGATCCTGCTCCATTTGTTGCACCTGTCTTGTGTTGTGGTTCATGTACTAAATGGTGATAAGTATAATACAGTAGGTCAGAGCCGAAGAAGAAGACGAGATTGTGGTTCCAACTATTGGAACATATCCGACGCCATCTGTTAAACACATGTTCCTTTACGGTCAACCATATTGTGATTGCGTCACTAAAATTTCCGAAGGAATGACTTTAACTTCATTACTTGGAAACCTTGTTTTAATAGCTTTCTTGTCAGCAGCAGTGGGAAGTATGGTGTGTCCTTTACTTCAAGTTCAATGGGGTAGATGCTTTCCTCTTGTTCACAAAAGTTTGAATCATATGGTGAGGAGACATTATCTATATAAAGGATAATGCTAGATTCTTTTCATTCTTCCTTAGAAGCTCTCGTATGACATCTGCCTCATATAAATAAAGGAATAAGTGGACAAGAATAGGAGCACAGATGGTTCTCATGAGAATGTCGATTGTTTGGTTGATGGGTTACAAAGTAAGATTTGTCTCTCTCTAAAACAAGAAACGTTGGCCATTATTTTTTTATGAAATAAAGAAAGACCAATTTCCCAATAGGTCTTTAAGTTTGACAAGTAGAATAGTCAAATGTTTTATACTATTGCAAGAGAAACGAGACTTATATTGTATGCACTCTTTAGATTTTTTAAGTATCTACATCTGATTCATACCGCCCTTAGAGTACATAAATATACGTAGTATGACAATAACTCTGAACCCTTTAATATATATCTAAATTCATGTTTATAGTTTAGAAAAAAGTTTCGTGAACTACTTGGAAGACCCAGCAATATAACATTGTGTATTAGGACACTAATGTTATTCATGTATCAAATTCATTGAAGGAAGATCCAGTTCTTCATCTTTGGTTGAAATTCCAAAGGAACATAGAAAAGCCCTATTGTTATTCGGGATTTCCCCTTTGGTAAGTGTCGTATATGATGAGTTTTCAAGTGAATTGTTAATGTCTAATTTGTTTATCACATAGGTTATGTAATACGATTTTCAGACAAAAACGAATGTTTTTGGGGTTCATTTTTGCAGGGACAATAACATTTGGTCAGGAGGTACGACAGGTGCTTAGCAAAATCTGGATCTTTAAAGATCTATGAAGCATATGTATTCGTAGACCGATTCAGTTTTTTTAATTCTAATTTATATAAGCGACCTCGTTACACATTCGGACAGAGTATCTTCATTTTTTTTGCGTTTAACCCATTGCCTGACACATTCACCGAATTACATGCTTCTTTCTGTGTAAAGGTATATGAAAAGAAATTTTAACATGTTTATGAGCGCTCAACCCTCCCATACGTTTATGTCAGAAAAAATAGAGGTTGGCATATTTGCTAAATAATGGCTTCTTTATGTTAGATGTTAAAATGAAGGTGTTGGAAATATTTAGATTTCTGGTTTCAGAGGAAAGGGTTTTTTTGTAAATTAGCCGATCAGAGTAAATAATTGTCTCTTCGATCCTTGTTTGTCATCCAATTAAAGTCAGAGATAAATGTCATATGTAGATGGGCTTCAAAATAACATACCTGACTTATTTGGGTATAATGTCCTAAGTGATTTTAGAGAAGATGAAGAAAATATGAAACGTTCACTAGATTACTGACGACAACTTGGACAAACGCCAAGTGATTGAAATAGCCAGATGCCTTTCGGAGCTAATAATATCCCTAATATACTGAACAGGTGCATTTTATTCGGACACAAGAGATTTTTAATGTGTTTTTTTCGTTTATTTATCCTTGTATTTATATTTTACATAATTTTTACTTTACCAACAAAGTTTATACTATATACAGTATGTACTATCAACTACAAAAACTTTCTTGTTGGCGTTTTTGTCAAATTTACTATTCATTACAACAACTTTTATGTTGGCGTCTTTGTTAGATTTATTTGTATGTTGTTTGAATTTTTTAGTCAGCTGTGGTGTATGTCTGTAATGTTTGTTCACACAGTTTTGGCTGCTGGATTTAGATATTTTAATCCTGGTATCTGAGATGATATAAATAAGGAAGATGTGGTATGAGTACCAATGAGACAACTCTCCATCCAAGTCACAATGTGTAAAAAGTAAACAATTATAGATCAAAGTACGGTCTTCAACACGTAGCCTTGGCTCACAAGAACAGTAAGCTTTAAAGGGCCCCAAAATGACTAGTATAAAACAATGCAAACAGGAAAAACCAACGGTCTAATCTATATAAAAAACGAGAAACGAGAAACACTAATGAACCACATTAACAAACGCCAACCACTGAACAACAGACTCCTGACTTAGGACAGGTGCATACAAATGCAGCGGGTTTAAACGTTTTAACAGGCGCCAGCCTTGAGCTTATTTCCAATTATTGTCAATTTAACCTATTATATCTGTGTGGGTAGCTCAATATATCAGAACTATAATCACCTGTCATACATGTGGGAAGACTAGATAGCTATAAAACCAGGTTAAACCACCATTTCTTGGTATTATGTCTGTACCAAATCAGCAATATTACAGCTAAGTTCCATTCGTTCTATTAGTTGATAAAGTCTAACGTTTGATTTTGTCAGTTTTTATGGACTTCTCTCTTCATGAATTTACCTTTCGGTTCAGAATTTTTGTTATATTTTATAATGAATTTTGCGTGGACATTTGTGATTATGATGATGTATCATATACATCATCATAATCATAAATTATATTTTTATATTACTAGTATAATCAAGTTAGAATCCACAGTACATTGGTTACCTCGCTTTGTCCACCTGACAAGGGTAGTATTTTGATTGAAGGAATTTCTACATAAAATCCCTGTCCTGTTTAAATAGTATTATTTGTTTCTGTATGATAAAGGATTGGGTGCTGAAAAACCTAGCACTTGGTGATGTAACTGTCCTTGGTGTGAAAACTCGAAAATGTTTGTCCTTAGTTTATCCTGATATAACAGTATGAAAAATTATAAACAAAATTCCCGACCCCTAAGTTCAAAAAGGGGAATTCCATATAACCTGACAAAATTAAACGTTTAACTTAGACTATATAAACCAACGGAACGAATGGAAAACAATACTGCTAATCACCACGGAATATCCTGTTGAACCATATTGAGATATTTTATCTATGAAACCGAAACGAACATGCACTTCATACACTAAAGGTTACACTTCTGTAAATTTAGATAATGCAATTTCCTATAGGAACTCCTTTTACGGCTAAAACTGTGCCCCTTTTACTATGAAGTTTCGTAAAAAAATTATATCCTAGACTTGAAAGTTTATATGTACTACTATTTTTTTCAAAGTTCAAAAAATAGGGCTGTGCGGCATATTTTCAACATTTATAGGCCTCCAACTTCTAAGAGTTTAAACTTATACTAAAACTGTGTACTACTCCTCCCTTCAATTTTGGTCTTCCTCAGAATTTAATTTGATAGCTATCCATGTGTATTTATACTGGTAACATTCTAGAATTGTGTCTCATAGAGACCATATTTGGAAACCAGAAGGTAAAAAAAAACAAAACATCTATTAACATTAAATTTCTCCCAAAAAGAGGCGTGGTTTGTGAAACAGCTGTATTTACAAAGTGCAACCTATATAGATTCATCTGATTTTTGGTCATGCAAATCATACAAGGGTTTAAAAACATGTACTATATGGTTTATAAGGAACAATTTGCATTATAGGCTATAATAGACCTTTTCAATATATCTTGACACCGAATAATGACACCTACAGTGTAGAAATGTGAACGTCCAAACTGTTGCCTTAGTTATGAAAATAACGTAGAAAAAACAAGAATGTAACCAAGTAAAAATATGACATTACACCGCAAATAAATTAATTGAAAAATATATATTGTAAGATTATATTGTATCGGAAAGTCCATAACACGTCATGTGTTAAAGATCAGTTTTATTTTTGAACAGGCTATTGTATACTAATATTTTTTGTACTTTCAAACAATTATAAAGGGCAATACTTACGTTCAAAGGTAACGCTCTATATTATGTATTATATCTTTACAGGAATCACTAATTACAGAAAATGACTGGACGGATGAGTGTAGAGAGATACTTTTAAATGATTCTGCAGGACCATCCAGCCTACGCTATTTGGAATGCATGTATTGGGCTTATGGATTTACAAAAACGGAGGCACAAGAATTTGCTAAAGAGGGTAAAGAAACATTATTTTGTACAAAAGTATACAATTCATTAAATATATTTGAAAACGATAGCTAAGTATTATATATCAAATGTGTATTCACATTTAATTGTTATTTGATTGATGAAATTGTCTGTATATCATGAGCTTGGGCACCACTGTCAATATTATCTGATTTTTTGGTTTTTTTTTTATTTAAATATTTTTATAAGCAAAGATCAATAGGAGACCAAACGATGAATATTTAAACAGCTACATCATGTCACTTTACGGCCTTCAACAATGTGTAAAACCATGCCGTATAGAAAGCTATAAGAGGCCCCGAAATGCCAAAACGTGAAACAATTGAAAAAAAAAGAAAACCAATGACCTGATTTATGCTAAAACAATAAACTGAAATAAGTATGGCAGACAAAAACCAACGACAATCAATGAATAATAGGCTCCTGACTTAGACCCAGCCCCCTCCTATCCAGGGACAGTGGTTTAATAGTACAGCATAAAACCGAAATGAAAAAATAAATAGGAATCAGCATTACTCATCAGATCGATTTTAATGAAAAAACAAAAATTATACATGGAAACGGAGAATCGAAGGTAAACCTATACATATTTCACTTCCAACGTTAACTGTAAGATTCGTCTTAACCACGCCGCTACCAGCCCGGCCTGCTTTGGTAGCAATTGGTAGCCGTAAGGTTTCGTCGATGTCACACATAATAGGCATCAAATCAAAAATTCGAATCCCAGTTACGGCGACAAAAAAAAAAATGCAAAAGGTAAGTATTTTTTAATCCATTAGTGAACAGAAATCAGGAAATTAGTCAATTCAAACACACTATGGGACCAAATGAATATAATTTAATGGCTTCATTTCTGTGATGAATTTAAAAATCATTGATTCTAGAAACAGAAACAACGTTTAAAAAATATGCAAACGTCAAAGCAGTAGTTTGAAATCCTGTAATTTTGTGGGACTTATGGATGATTTAATGTTTATGGCCTATTATTACATAATGGCAATGATACATTTTGTTTTACAACTTCCTTATTCAACAGGATTGTAGTTGACCATGTTTTACCGTCATTTCAATTTTTATAATTTTGCAATATTAATTGGAATTTTAATTTCAATTTTACCCTTACTGCAAGCAAGCACCTCATAATTGATATGGATGTAACGGCTTGTTGAATGAGTATAATAGTAATTAATATTATGGTACAGTCAAGTTAATACAGAGTACGTTAAAGATATTTTTAGTTTCATTGCGGTCTTAATGGGTTTTTTCTACTGTCTTCCACAATGACAAAAAAAAAGTAAAATAACAAAAATACCGAAGGAACTTTCAAAACGGAAAGTCCCAAAACAAAAGCTCAAAACAGAGCGACTGTTGAAAGTTCGGTACTGATAAATAGCGATTTAAATTAGAAACTTCAAAGAGTCTGAATCGTTCATCTATTAAAAACAATATAATTGATAGTAATATAAAAATCAGGTCCCGAATTAATAAACCAAATTTTCTAAAAATTTGTATACATGTGTTTTGCTGTTAAAATCTAAATTATGCCATAAAAGTTCAGAATCAGAATGCTAAAATTTGTCATAAATAATAACTCCTATAAAAAGCGGAGAAATTGTTGCAGTCATGTTGGTATTCTTGTAGAACTTTTATTTCTGATGTAAATCTTTGCTGTTTACAGTTTCTGTATATTTGTTATAGTTTTCAAGAATAAAGACAAAACCGCTGATACATTTTTGTATATTTAAGAAAAAAATCATGGGAGCTTGAATTTATACTGATTTTACCACGGATTGGCCCTTTATGTTAAATATTTTACCACAAAAAATAGTGAGGGGTAAAATATCGGCATAAAGGGCAAACCCATGATAAAATCAGTATAAATTCAAGCCCCATGAATTATTTCTTTTCTAATAGGACAAATACGGCAATTCTTTTGTATCGAAGCGCTCTAGGTGAAGGCAAATATTTGCTGCTCCCGTAATTAATCATTCTACTAATATTGACGTAAAAGACAAAGAAAACAGAATTAGTGACATGCTTAAACGATTTGAAATAACATACTTTGGACGAAGTTAAATGATTATCTTACTTTATTTTAAGAAAATTGGCTTTCAACAAATTTTTATCATCGTCTGTTTATGTTTCAGTGTTTTGATGACTTTCAGTTTGACATTCGTGTATTTTGCCTTAGAATGCTTATTATTTTCCGACTTCAATGAAGTCATTTACACCGATTGACCTCTGGTAACTCATTGATAAAAAAAACATACGGTGTTGGAGCATGATGGGAACAGCCCAAACAAATCCTGCTGTTGCCGATCAGCTGACATACAATACATTCATATTTTACCACGGTTGTGTACTCAAAACGTTTGAAAAACGTCACAATTTTATTAGAATTCAAATATCAACATTTAAGGATATTAATTATGTCTCAAATATTGTTATGAGGATGTAGTAAATTTGGCAATTTGGAAGATTTTTTATTTGTAACTGTCGTTAACATTACAAAATATTTAAATTATAATAAACTTCAATAACTTTCCAAGAAGGTCAAAGGTCAATGTATGATTAATGTAATCCAGACCCCGTGGGGGTTACTGACTATCCTTTCGGGTATAACTGTGCCGACAGCACTTGCCAAATCATACCCTGTTCAAACCAGAAAACATTGAAAAACATACCCTGTTCTAAACAGAAATATTTGAAAACATACCCTGTTCTAGACACGCTCAGAAAATGTATACCCTGTTCTAGACATGCTTAAAATGTATACCCTGTTCTAGACACGCTCCGGAAATGTATACCTTGTTCTAGACAGAGACCTATATGTTCTAGACTAGTTCAGAAATATATACCCTGTCACCAACAATTCATTAATGTAAGCAAAAAACATACTTGTGTCAATTTCTGTTGTTTTTAACTCGATTTCAAAAAAGACAAATGTATAAACAAATTTATAAACTGGAAAATATCAATGAAAAAATTATTCATAGATCAAGTTCAGCCTGTTTAAAATTATAGAAACCATTTAACAGTTCTTACACGTTGTGATCTTCTGATACCATCTTCTGACGGAGATGGTCTCACTACTGTTCTAATTTCATCATGATCATCATGATCATTGGTGTTAACAATGAGACTATCTTCATCGGGAGTCCTCCTTTTCTTAGTATGAGAAATATTCCGTGATATGAGTCGCATAATTTCATTATGTTAATTTTGGCACAACTGGAGATTACCTTCGCCATTAAATGTAACATTGATATGAGTAATTATGTCATCAAAGGGTAGTCTAAGTGTTGAATAAACTGGTCTGTAAACGTGTGTTTCGTTTAATATTTTTTCATAAATTTGAAAAGTTACAATAATGTTTTTCTTGTTTTCGTGATCATATGGAACAGGACGTTTGTAGTAAATACTACTGTTCTTTCCCTGGTTTGTTATACGAACAACCTGACCAATTTTATATGATTGATTCGGTTTGTCTAGGACAGCATAGTCACAAAATAGCTGTACAATACGTTCTTCGGTTTCAGTTAATGAAAATAAATAAATTTAATAAAAGAATGGAATAACGTTAACAAACAAAACCAGAAAAATGTTAAATGATAATTATAACAGTATAGGTATGGACATGAATTTCGTTAGCTTTGTATTAATTCAAAGATTTATTTCTAGTAAAATCAAAGGTTTTTTTTTGTGTGCTCAAATGCAAATCAAGAGTAGACACCGTGCCTGCACAATTTGTTTTCAGCTATTCTGAAGAACAGCAGTTCAGCGTGTTGTTTAAATCAAGTTGGACGTTATAAAAAGGAAGGAAGGATATATCGATATACGAGTTATTTTACATGAGACACAAAACTTTTCAAGCACAAAGTCGAGTATTACATGGAAAGTTAACACCGTTTATCGATTGAGATTCTAACAACGCAATGACCAAAACAAATTTAACAAAACAACAACAAACACCTTTATAAACAGGTGCCTCGAACATGTCTTAAATTTTTTTCACAATGCATACCTATCATGGGAGAGCAAAGGATCTTCATTGAGCATTGAAACTAATGTTGATTTATATATTACACCTCCAACTGGCACATCGACCTTAGGGTTGGTCTTCGGAGTTATGGTCTCATTTTCTTCCAATACATCATTAAATATAGGTCTCATGTCAAACACATCATCTAAAATAATAAAAGATTAAACATTAAATAAGATCAACATGCATTATTATATTTTAAAGGTATAATTTAATTCTATCCCCATATTTCATTTGGGTTCGTGTTATGCAACCTTTAGTCTTTGTTGTGGTGTTTGTATAAATATTTCGGTCAATGCAGCGTTTGTTGTTATCTAATGTCTCATTTTACATTATGCAATAACCATTCTTTTAATGTTTCAGGTAAATACATATTTGATTTAGACAAACCATATAAAATCTCATAAACGATTAGTTTATAATTGTATGGTTTTGTGTCCTTAATGCTCTTCAACTTTTTACTTTGCCTTGTATCTTTTGATTCGAGCGTCACTGATGAGCTATAATATAGATAAAACCCGCGTCTCGTGAAGAAAAAAATATAAGCTTAGTACCTTTCATAAGTATTCAAAACGGTCAAAAAGCATACTCTAAAATTAAGTACAAACCTGAACTATCATTAACTATGATCTCCATATTAGGGGCGTTTCCACTGCTGAAATGAGCACCATCAAAATCATCATCTTTTCTACAATCACCACCGCTAGATGATATACATTTCTCTGAGTCGTCACTTATTTCATCGGTCATCACATTTATTACGTTTGTCCTATAGTGAAAATGTCTAAAAAAAAAACAATCTGGTCCATTTTCATCATCGTCATAATCACTTCCGCCACCATCGTCAGGATCATCATTGCCATTGTCGTCGTTGCCGACACGGGGAGGACCCATTACTACTGATCTTGCCAATCTCCTTGCCTCACGTATACCAGTTTTCTACGATAAAACTTCAGCTCCTACAAGGGGATATGCGGTCAAATCAATGCGTGGTTGGCCAACATATTGACGATTCCATATATTTTCCTGTTTCGGATGAGCTTTTGCAAATTCAGGTGCATTTGGGTTGATCCTTATTTTCTCCAACCGGATCATATGCGATATATTTCTCTGTTCTCTCTCTGTAATTGTGTCTATTGCCTATCCATTGGCCATTCTTACTCCAGAAGTCCTCCACAACATCTGTTCCACTCAAATCAAGTCTACATTCTACTGTAGGAAAATTGTCCCTCATAAAACAAATCAACAAAACAGCAAAATGACATGACAGTAGTACGTCCTTGTAACTTTCTCTTGTTATAAAGTTAATTTTTGTAGTTTGCTGATTATTCTCACAAATAAAATTGTGCCGTATTGCCAAAAAAATGTGTCACAATTGCGGCATACTTAATTCTCTCTTCTTATGATCGAACTTTACTACAAAATATCTCTACGTAGTACCAAATGATTTTTAAATAAACTAGAGTTCCCTTTAGGTATGGTCTAGGGATTTCATCGTCTTGTCGTCCATTCATTAATGCTTCTAAGCAGTTCTGTACTTGAATAAAAGTTAATTTCTGAGCGGATCGCCAATTTTGTAGGTCTCGTCTTCTGATATTATCATGTGACAATCCATGTTCTGCTGGTGTGAACTCATCGTACACCAATTGTAAATGGTTTAAGTGAATCATAAAATCATTCATCATTAGAACCCGAGATTCGTGGTCGAGTGGATTAATCAGCTTCTTGTGATTGTGGATAAAGTCCTGATCAGCAGTATTTCTTATGATATATTTATTCGCTGGTCTTTCAACAAAAGCAGTATAAACAAATCCAAGTTCTGCTGGTATTGGGTCTGTATCGCTCACCTTCTGTGCTGGTCATCAGTTGCAGCATTATTTTCCTCCGTCTGATATCCCCCTCCGAACCAAAACCTATCGGTGGCCCAATAATATTCTTTAGGTGTTCATCATAAATAGTTGCACTTTTTTGCCACTGGTGGTAGACAAAGTCTGTATCAAATTTATAACATGTTGGCATAACCAGAATTAAAAGTTTTGGTACTTTCGGGTGAAGTGGATTAATATTCATTGCTCTTGCGTATGTGCCTGTTTTGTAATTCTGAAATGCATTCATTATTTCATTATAACTATCTATACCAGTACCTACTTGAACTAAGAAAGAATCTAAACATTTATGTTAATGTCCATTTACACCAAAAACGTAAGCTATCGGAATCTTGATAATAACGAATTTCACCAACAATGGCTGTTTTGTCTTCCGCAACTAACACTGGAATCTGAGGCACATTTTCACGTTTCATAATTTCAAAATAGATTTCACCAAGTATTCTAAAAAATTTTTGAATGCCATCATCTAAGCGCGTCAGTTCCTGCTTCCTCCATCTGTAAACACTGTGTACATCTGGTCCTTCAAGGTTCAAAGCAATGAAATTTACTAGTCTTGGTCCACCCCAAAATATGATCAGTTATATAGATACAATGGATAAGCGTGGATTCTTGAAAAAGAAACCATGAGCCCGGAGGGCGAATGGTTTGTTTTTCATGAATCTACGCTTATCCATTGTATCTATAACTTAAACTATTGTGTTAATTTCTTTTCAAAATTAAAGCCTTTTCTTAATTAGAAGGTATTGTAAGTGAGTTTAAATAACCATGTTATCGTGTCCAACGATGCATTGATTAATCTCAGATCACAATTAATTGGTTAACAAAATACAAATATAACACTTCTACCTTTAAAGATATTTATATTACCAGGCATGTGAATATTATCTGCTTATACAAAATAAGACATATTCGAAATTATTTCTATTAGAATTGAAAATGGAAATGGGGAACGTGTCAAAGAGACAACAATCCGACCAAAAAGCATATATAAAGTATATATAATAAGTATGTTATCGAAATTTTTCTAACACTCTAGGCACATCACGATTTTCTCGCATAGGCATTTGCGAACAAACCTTTGTAAAATTATGGAGTAAAACAGATGAAATCATACTATATTTATAAAACAAAAATTGACAAATAGAATGTAATCATTTTTGTTTCAAACATGTGAAATAGCCAATATAATAAAGAAAACCCGGTAAAACTCGCTATTATTACAAAAATATCCACTATAACATGCAAAATTAGAAAAAAAACAGGATAACTTAAGAATTGGAACAACAGAGAGAATACAGGGATTCGAACCTAAACCGACAAATCCCTATCTTTAACTCATTGATTTTAACCATGCTAACCTCGCGGCTATCAACTCATACTATACGACTGCATATTGTGTCTATATAAAGGTACAAGCCCTGTGTGTCCGATGAACCGATGTATATTATATGTTATTTAAATATATAAAATAGACTTCTATAGTGTAACCCATTGGTAGCCGAGAGGTTTCGTCGATGTGTTGATGTCAGTCACACATAACAGATTTCAAGGAAGGGTTCGATTCCCAGTGAAGGCATATAAAAATTACAAAAATTAAAGGTAAGTTTTTAAATTAATTCCAATAGTGAACAGAAATCAGTAAATTAGCCCATTCAAACTTAATGAAATTAGGCACACAAAGGAAACAATTGAATATAATTTGGTGAGTCAATTTCAGCGGCAGATTTAGAAAGCGTTGATTCTAGAAAAAGAATCCACGGTAAATGAATAGGCTGACGTCACCACAATGGTTTAACTTCATAGAACATTTTTAGGGAGGATTCATACCTTTTCCCATTCTTTTTCACGTGAAAATTTCTAGCCATGGTTTTTAAAAGGTCACATAAAACGGTTCTATCCTGTAAAACATCCTTTTCGTGAGAAAGCCCTAGTTGGAAATATACAGATTTCAAGGATCCTAGTTTACTATATTCCTTTATTTTCTCGATAAGTGTTTCTTTTATTCAAATGCTGAACAACATATAGCGATGTTCGGAAATACTGATTGTAACTCTCTTATATAGAGTTTCGACATGTTAACAATCTGTTGCCATCCAAATAGACACGTGATGTTTTGGTGACGTCATGGCAAACATCGCTGTCAAATCACTGATACACTAATCCCAATCTAATCTTTTTGAAATCCCAACTTTTATAACCGAAGTCAGATTTTAATAATGTGAAATTGGAATTCTTATTTTAGTTAGATCGCACAAACTCCCGGACTTAAACATAAATATATAAAGTCATGGAAAAGGCACACAAACGATTCAATGGTGAGCAACTAAAACTAAATATAGCAATCCAATTAAAACACAGGAACAGACAGACGCTCAATCGTAACTACTCGGTCATTCAGACATCATCGTCGGTTTAAAATCCTTACGTACTAGAATTCAAATTGTTTTAAAACGTATTTAAGTTCGATGAAGGGAATCAAAGTTTTCCGATACGAAATAATTTTCCAAAGGAAACAACGAAATGAAGCAATTTTGTACAAGAATCTTGATAAAATAAAAAATGTTTTTAATCTTAATATATTAAATCTCAGAGCATTAGTGTTTGCTTGTTTATTGACAGAGATGGAAGGAAGAGGATAAAGGAAAGCTTCAAGCCATATAAAAGTAAACATGGATTTTATTATTACTGTCTTTGATACAACATCAATAGACCTTATCTGCTACACTTGAAACGTGAATTTATGACACTTGATCTGTTGACGTCATTTAGCAATCTGTATTCTTCTGTAGCGTAATACTTCATTTGTGATGTTAAATTGTGCGTCTCTGGTGTTTATTATACAGTCATAGAGACATGCTGATTAAATAATTATAAGACATTGTGTTAGATGAATTCAAACATGTTTGAAGCAACAAAATGTAATAAAAACTACTTCATTTTGCATATCCAAACCCAGACAAAATTACTTTTCCTCTTCTTTTTTTGTGTGCATGAAACGTTATAGTATTAGCTGTATCTCACTTGTTACGTTAATATAGCATATTCAAAGCGTTATTGCATTAATAACTCTTCACCTTATATTTTTTTTGCATTATGCCATGCTTCGCATAAAAAGTTTATGCATATACTATAATATAAATATATTCAATAAAACTTTAAGGAGTGGTATCTTTAAAGAGTTTTTACAACTCTGGGTCGATGCCACTGCTGGAGAGCGTTTCGTCTCCGAGGGTATCACCAGCCCAGTAGTCAGCACTTTTGTGTTGTCATAAAACATTATCGATCCGTTCATTTTTTTTGAATTTACAGTTGATATAATATTGAATTATTAGAAACACTAAGGTTTTTTTACGCATGCAAATGTAGCTAAAGTCGTTTTTGGCACTATTTTTCTGAAATTTTTGCTTTCAATACTCTTCAATTTCGTATTTGATTTGACCTTCTCTCTGTTTTGATTCGAGCGTCTGGCGTAGCAAATTATAAGCTTGGTATCTTTGATGTTTTTGTGGAAGCCACAGTTAGTGGACGTTTCGTCACGTGCGTACGTGAAACTGGTTTAACCCCACCACATTTTGTGCCTGTATAATGTCAGTCTATCTGGACAATGTGTTTTTCATTGTTGTTAGCCTTTGTTTGCGTCTGTTATTTTTCAGAGGAGTCGAATTTTGTGGTTGCTGTAGTCTGTTTTGTTGTCCATTAGTTTTGATAATTCCTGTGGTTTTTTTTTGTTTTTGTTTTATGCATTATCAAAAATTCTATATAAATGTGTTGCTGAAAGTGGATAGTTAAAGATGAAAATTTTGAAGTCACCTTTGTTTTCAAAAAGTTTATATCTACACACTCATTGCCAGAGGTCATGTGTTCGTCAATGTATAAAACATACCTAGCTGTATCGGTCTCATTATTTATGTCAAATTTAGTGTTATTTATATTTAGATAGTCACCAAACTTTGAATTATTTAGTTATTTTAAAATTACATTTACAAAATGAATAGATTTGGTGATATGTTAGTATAACGGTAACATCTTTCATTCGTCTGTAATAGTCCAACTATGAAGTAAGTAGTCAACAAGAAGAACAGCACTGATATTTCCTTTGGGACTGTCTACAGATTAGTCAAGTGACAAAACAAATAAGTGTTGACTATATCAATAAAAGCATTTTGTTGATGGTAAATTCTAAATTCTATTTCTTACATCATTTTGTAGCACGGTCGTTTTGAAAACCACGATATGTTTATCTACATCATCCTTTCTGGAGAGACGATTATGAATTAATTATTCTAAACTTTTTTTTCATTTGTGAATACTTCATGTCTAAAAAATAACGAAAAATCAAGCAATTTCACTTTCATGCCATTTATTTTCCTGTGAACTTGGAAGCAAATACGCAAACGAGTTTAGAAATTTGTATCATTACAAGTGCTTTTTATGTACTTACACCAAGATGTCGTTAAATGAAATTGGATATCCTTCATGTTTCATGCTTTTCAATAACATATAATGATCAAATCTCTGAAAGATTATTGAAAATATTCTTCATTGACAAAAATATCTTGATGTAAATTAGATACACCCAATCGAGCTTACTAAATTAATTGTATTGTATATTCTTTTCATGTACTTTTCATTATATAATATTCAATAGTCGAGGGTTAAGAGCTTTCCTGCCGAAGGTCGATGGTTCTCACCGGGCACTTTCCAAGCCTGTAAAGACTGACGACCACGAAATAGTCCATTGTGTTGGCGTTAAACACAAACAAAATCAATTTACATTTGTATCAATGGGAGTATGACATTTGCGCCAATATTGAAAATATATGTTTTCCATTTGTGCCAAACTGACAAAGTTTTCATTTGCGCCAATTATTAATTTTTCATTTGCGCCAATTTGATTTGAACAGGTTAGATCTGATACATTTTAGACTATAAAAGAACAAATAACGGCCATGAATCGTTTTAATCGCACTACAATAAACAGTTTAACTAACACCACCAGAATATTTACATTTTTATGGATGTCATAAAGAAAATCTAGGCAACAACTTATGTAAAATTCAGATCTCTCGACATGTCAGCAGCCGTAAGAAAACATGAAAAGGAAAAAATGAACTTTGTTAGGGAAAAGTATCGGATGTATTGAAGAGAATATATCACAAGGTCGCAGTTCATCAGAGGTGTTGCATACAAATACTCAGACTTGTAAATATGCAAATATGTTTTTGACGTCAAACTGTTACTATTTTATTAAAACAGTGCTATTTTACGTGTGATGTATATAGTTTTAGAAACTTAAACAATAAACTTATCCTGCTCGAAATCCCACTTCCACCCCATGGTGAGCAGGGGGCAGATGGCAGACGGAAGGGGTGCTGAATTTTGTTAATATATAAATTATGTACAACTTATTTGTCTCATGACTTTTGTCTACCTGTAAATTGGCGTAAATGAAAAAAAAATTGGCGCAAATGAAAATATAAATTGGCGCAAATGGAAAAATAAATTGGCGCAAATGAAGTGCAGATTGGTGCAAATGCAAAACGCCGGTATCAATCAATCACATGGTTAGGATCTCAAAAAAGTGTAAACCCGCCGTATTTTATTAGCATGTTTATAGTTAGGATACACTTCAATGGTTCTCCTTTGTTATATCTGATTGTTTTTGTCATTCAAGTTATTATAAATATTAATATTCAATAGCCTACTTAATTTTTTCACAGCTTATTTAGACGCGAGCGAATAAAAGAGCTTGATAACAAACTAGCCGACACTCGGGATGTATCCTGTTTTTGTTTTGATTTTGTGGGAGTCGATGATTTTTCTTCTGGCATATATCAATAGAATGTAGTATTTGAATTTTGATATAAATCATTAGTTTGTGTCAATCCTAAATGCACGTATGACTAATCTCCGTTTTAATATCAATGATCACTTCGACTAACCTGACAATTTGAGAAATATCATTCACTGAATCTTTCCTTGCGGATACTTTACAGCAATAACTTAAGAGAATTATTAATAATTGATTGGGGTAGCTTAAAACAATCAGTTTAATAACAAATTTGTAATCAAACACCCACAGAACAAAGTGATCAAGGTTACATAATGTATCGTCCTAGAATCTACTACAGACAGTTTATTAGAAAGTGCAAATTTGTATACATACAATAAAAAATAGAAAAAGATATAAAAACAAAACTATTCTATGACAAGATCTCAAAGTGGGGCTTTTTGGGGAGTATTTGCAATTTTGTATTAAATGCAGGAAGATTGAAACCCTAATGCAAATATATAAAAAAAATCAAAAAAGTTAAAATTGATATCTATCTGAAGACTACGCGTGAAGGATTTAAGTAGATACATTAATTATTTTTTTTATTCTCAAATTTAAGAGGCCAAAAAGGTCGTATGGGTTAAAATATGTTGTAATAGAAAAGGATGTACAACTGGAAAACTTTAGAAAATTACATAGAAACCGTTTCATTCCTCGTCTTTGAAAAATTATTTTAAAGTTCAAAGTCTCTAAAATAAAAATTTCTTCCGTTATAGAGAGTTAACTAAAGTGATGTTTCAAGCAAAATTTGAAATCCAAACACAAGGATATAGTTCTATAGAATTTCTGTATAGACAGAACAAAAAGTTATTTCAAAATTATATTCAACTTATAAATGAAGAATAGAGTAAAATTCAAAATATTTGTAATTGTGAGAGCGTTATCATTTTTTTCTCAAAAATAACACTTAAAAAAATTCAAAATATTGTGTAAATATTTTTGTCGTTATTCTAAATATATTCGCTGAAAGAGTGCTTGAAATTTTAAGGAAATGATAAGGTCACCTATACCAACAAAAGTCCTCATTGACTAAGGAGATGATTCAAGTACCACACTCAAACATTTACACTTTACCCAAGTACCTTAAGAGAAGAACAGGCGGCGAATAAATGACCTCATTTAATTACAAGCCGGATGACTACGATGAACAAATAGCAAAATGTATACGCAACTCAACCAAAGAATACAGCAACTCAAGGTATGCCTACATAATAATGATGTAAGCGTGATTCAGTATGCTGACAGTGCCTTATATTTGATATACTTGGACTGCATTTGTTGCAAGCATGACTGTGATGTGCTGTGTATAATATAAATTATGTGTGCTATATTGTTATACTTTATATATTACGTGGGCTTTATTGTAAGTCATCGACCATCCATCTTTTAATTGAGTGCATGGTTTATTTTTCTCGGGACTAACAATTGTAACGTCACGGTACCCAAATTGCACCGAGTACCCAAATTGCACCTATTTAATGAAAATATCAGAGGAAACCTTACAAGTTTCCTAGAGACTAAAAAAATTGTATTTTTATGATTTGACACTATGCACGTCTTTCAGCATAGGTAAATATATTTAAATATACACAAAAAGTTCACAGTATATATAAACAGATGAAGTGTTCACTGGAAAAAGTAAAATGTACGGAAACGTCGCCATGCGACGACCACAAAAAGTCATCTTTTAAAAATTAGCAAATAAAATATGTTACAAGCATTCATTTCTTAAAAAATGAATAGTACGCATGGGCTAATGTCAAATTGTTCTCAATATTTAAAGAAATAAAACAAAATATCTGTTATTCGATTTTTACGGATGTGAATTTAACCATGGATGCAATTTGGGTACTCCTCATTACAGAACCATGGATCGTTTGGAGGTCGGTTCAAACCCATTTTTCTATGATTCAATATGGATTCACAATTAAATTGGTGGAACTATTTAGTAAATAATGATACATCTACAAAATAAACACAGAATGGAAACTTTTGTCTAGATCATAAATAAACGCAGGTGAAAAAACTGTCAAAATAGGTGCAATTTGGGTACCCTCACGTTATCTACCTTATTAAAAATAATGTTTTTCATTAACATAAAGCAACAAGATTTTTTGTTGGAAACTCAATTTTTTATGTATTATATATGTTTTATTGCAACTCTGTATTATGTTTGCTTTATTACAACTATGTATTGTGTGTGCAATAATGAACATGATTGTAACCATGTATTATGTGTGATGTATGCTTTATAGTGCATGTAATTATGTATTATGTGTGTTTTATTGTACATGTACATGTAACTATGTAGTATGTGTGCGTTATTGTACATGTAAATTTTTA